TTCCCTAAACAATCCCAATTTGCCATGAAGTACCGTATTTTTGGAGTATAAGATGCACCCTTTTCCTTCAAAAAAGAGGCTGAAAATCTGGGTGCATCTTATACACTGAATACAGCATTTTTGTCCTCCTGAAACCCCGCCCCCTTTACCAAAATGGCCGTGCATAGCTTTTAGAAGGCTTTCAGATAACTCCTGGGGGCTGGGGAGGGCAGAAATGGGTCATTTTTTGCTCACTTCTGCCCCCCTAGCTCCCAGGAGCAGTCTATAAGCCTCCTAAAGGCTATCCATGCCCCCTTTTTGACAAAAAAATGAGCCCGTTTTCGCAAAAAAGTGTGCAAAAACTTTTTTTTTCAATTTGCCTCTTCAAAACCTTGGTGCATCTTATACTCCGGTGTGTCTTATACTCCGGAAAATACGGTGAGTTGAAACTGACATAAGTAAGTGGTATCCAACCTTATTTCATAGTCCATATAGCTAACATTTTCTTTGTGATGTATGACTTAATATATTCTTGTAAAGAATAAAAAAATAAAGGACTGTAGCCAATTTCACTAGACTTAGCCACAAGAGGAAAACTAACCCCAGATAATACAGAATGACAATTTTGATGGGAGAGAAACAAGGAAAACAAATCTTGGCTAACTTTCAAAATCAAGGTACAACAATATTAAGTCACGCCATCCATTACTGTCTGTTTGGAAGTGATCTTCACGGTAAAAGATGCAGACTTCACTTGAATTTTCTTAAATACATATTCATAAGTCACAATAATTCTGCGAGAATATCTTTTGGCTAAATAAAAACAAAACCAGAGCTTTTTGATAAATCACAGCTACTCTATGTTTGCAGGAGAAAAAATAATACTTTTTTTAAAAGAACATCATCCCTTCTGGAGCCACGGAGGAGGCTCTATAATGTTAGGGGTTTCTATCTTGCCTCCTGCACTGAGTACCTGTGCAGGACACAATGAAATCAGAAGATTATCGAGGCATTCTGGAGTGAAACATAATGCCTAGTGTTAGAATGCTTTGTCTCGAATCACAAGTCATGGGTTCTGCAACAGGATAGTGATCCAAAAGATATATCTAACCGAACCCAAGAGTAGATGAAGAGCAGCAAACAATGGACTTTTCTGAAGTGCCTGCTTTGACTCCTGACCTGTAATAAAACGTCTATGGAAGAACTGAAACACAGAGTTGGGAGAAAGATTCCATCAAATCTAACACAACTGGAACAGTTTGATCAAACAAAAGTGTGACAAATTGCCAATTAAAAGTGAAGTCTTACTCAGAACTACAGAAAATACTTGATTGCAGTTACTGACTCAAAATTGCCACGAATTACTGTGTTACATTAGTGGACAGGAACCATTAGTTTTGGCCACATCTGTATATTTGCCCATTGTCACCTACTGAGAAGTATGTCAATTAGAACCAGAGAGTTAATTTTCATTTGTAGTCATATGTCAAAATATTCATACGCCATAATATTATATGAATATTCATAATATTCATAATATTATATTATTCATAATAATATGTCAGTCCTAGAGGAGATCAACCCTGACTGCTCTTTAGAAGGCCAGATCCTGAAAATGAAACTCAAATACTTTGGCCACCTAATGAGAAGGAAGAACTCANTTAAAAACACAACAGTCATACCATTCGAGTGGGGTTACAAGTCTCTAGACATAGAATGACAAAGTGATACAATATCCTTATCCTTTTCTCGGCCTGCCTTGAAGAAGAATTTCACAGACTAGACTGGACAAAAAGTGGAATAAAAATCAATGGCGCCTATTTAAATTTATTAAATATAACATGGCTCTTTTATTTTTAAGCCAAATAATTCTGCTTTGTGCAGCTCTTTGTAAGTTTTCTGGGTCTTGTGATAAGAGAACAACACCATCTGCAAATCTTAAATGATTTAAAGAGGCCTTCATCCTGCAATGGATAGACTATGGATAGGATGGTGATTGTATGTGTTTATTCAGTGGTTAGCAAAAGAAATCCCACATATATAAAGAAACACTTAAATAGAGGCTGAAAATAGCTGTTAATCAAAGAGGAAATATATTTACAGTCCAAGACCAACCATATAAAGAATATCAAGTACTACAATTTTTTTTAAAAATTACAGGAGCCAGAAGCAGTAAAACACTACTAAGAGTCATTGTATGAGTTTGGCAATTATATAAATTTGTTTAAAAAATAAGATATATAACAAAGTTAAGGAGAAACCTAAAACAGTTTGGGGAGGAGGATACCAAATGACCTCTGTAGGCTACAGCTACACCTGAAAGAAATTTTGCAGCTTTCCTGGAGGTACATGGAAATTGATTACATAAAGGCGAACAATACCCAAAGGTGATCCTAAGAATGAAGACTTTCTGACAACTGGTATTATGAAATCTGTCTATCTTTGTCTTTACAATGGACATTTAACAATATATGTAATATGGATTCCACTTCTGCTTCAGAACATACGAAACTTTTTATAAGGAAGGCCAATGCAGGTGAGGCTAAAAAAGCATAGGTACACATTCACATTTCCCTAAACAATCCCAATTTGCCATGAAGTACCGTATTTTTGGAGTATAAGATGCACCCTTTTCCTTCAAAAAAGAGGCTGAAAATCTGGGTGC